TCCGCTTGGTTTTGAGCCTCCAGTCAGTGACTCGTCCTCGTGTATTTGCATTGCCGCACCCGCCCTATAGTCAGCACACAGCCGGCAGGTGAGACGCCTCCTGTATGCGACTTGCTGGTTTATTGTTCATTTTGGGAATAAACACTTTACAGAGTCTGGTGGAAAAATGTCCATTGAGATCAACCAATAGAGCGCTCCTCCTTCTGACTGACTTTCTCCATTTGTACTCCCCTACAGTATATGATGCATGCTTGTAGTCCCCAAGTGCAGAACTTTGCATTCATCAACATGAAAACCTGATTTTAGGTCAGAGACCCTGCGACGTTCTCCGGGTATCATTTATAATGGAGGAGGAAAAGAAATGACGGCAAGCAAATCGTCCATCCTGCACTAGAAGCAGAGCTGGATTCTGAGCGGACGCTCCCGGTAAATGGCTTTCCTACCTCCCACGTTGCCCCGATGCATGATGGGATTTTAGCTGTGCTGCTTCGATTGAACATCTGTCCGAGAGCATCAGACCAGCACCGGAGACCCGTGGTCACTATCCACAGTCCTTCCTGGTGAATTATTCATTGACTGATATGGAAGTAAATGACCCGGGTAGATGGCTGAGTGCGGGCTGACAATGACCGACTCAGCACATGTCCGGGTGATGGATACACGGCGTGTAGGATCAGCAACATCTCCCAGCGTGGATGTGGACAGGAAGACAGGCAGGTCCTATCCGGGTACGTGGCATGGTGCAAGGCCCCTAATGCGCAGGACACACACAGCTGGGAGCTTTGCTCTAAGGATTTATTACGGCACGGGCTTCAGGCAGCAGGACTTCAGTTCCATTACGGGGATGAATCTTACTGGAAATGCTGACTGCGCCTTTAAACAAAGTGCTAGACTTTCCAGCAGTGAAGCCCGCTAGCAGCTTGTTTAAAGTGAAGGTCAGCACTTCCATAAAGGCCGGAACATCCCCATAATGAAACCAAATGGTACTTTAAAAGGCTTCAAAGCTAGAAGGAAGCTCAGCAAATGCACTATAAAAGCTTGCTGTACACATTGCTCTTATATAAGATGATACCCATGTACACACTGCTTCTATATACGCTGATACGCATGTGCACAATGCTTCTATATACGCTGATACCCATGTGCACACTGCTTCTATATACGCTGATACGCATGTGCACAATGCTTCTATATACGCTGATACCCATGTGCACAATGCTTCTATATACGCTGATACCCATGTGCACACTGCTTCTATATACGCTGATACCCATGTGCACACTGCTTCTATATACGCTGATACCCGTGTGCACAATGCTTATATATACGCTGATACCCATGTGCACAATGCTTCTATATACGCTGATACCCATGTGCACACTGCTTCTATATACGCTGATACCCATGTGCACACTGCTTCTATATACGCTGATACCCATGTGCACAATGCTTCTATATACACTGATGCCCATGTACACATTGCTTCTATATACGCCGATGCCCATGTACACAATGCATGTCCATGTCCTCAGAAAACATGGCACATGTACTGTCCATGTCTGCTCCTTCTATTGGATCTGCTGATGAAGACCCCAGATCAGATATTGGACACTCAGCTCCTGTTCTCCCTATGGACAGCCTGCAGAATTCAGTAGACTGTCAGCCCAACCCAGAAGCCGGGAATCTGTCCATCACTGATCCCCTATTGACCTGTCTGAGAACACCATTACCTATGTAACCTGCTGGAGCTCAGCGTTTGCTATCTGTGACTTCTGGGAGCTGGTGAGCGCAGCCATGGTGGTCCTGCAGCTTTCTCCTCCTGCAGGAGAGTCATGGGACTATCCCAGCACCAGGTTCCCTGTGGAGGGAGACTATAGGAAAATGGCGGACAACCAAGGTTCCTGCTCTGGTGGAAGTAGATGATCGGCTGCTCCTCATCCTGCAGGAGCGCAGAGCCATCAAACAGCCATGGCTGCGCGCTCTGCTCTCTTTCCCATCCTCCTCTGCTGGCTCCGCTGTGGTCGCACACGACTGGATCTATTCTGTGATGCTGGAAGCGTTCTGCGGCTTTTCGAGCAGCAAAACTATTTCACCAACACGAGCCAGTTGGATGTGACCAACTACGACAAAATATACAAAGACCCCAATAACGTGGAACCTTCACAGTCTGCGGGACGACAAGACTACTGGACCAATATGGCCGCTCCTTCTATAGTGCACCGTTTTTGGCAATGACCCGAGACCCAACCATTACACAAAGAAAAGTGTACCTACCTATGCTGGAGGTGTAGTCAGTGGCCCCAAAGATCAACTCTGGAGCCCTATAGTACCGAGAGCAGATGTAGGAGACGTTGGGCTCCCCGCGGACCAGCTGCTTCGCACTGCCAGAGAGAGAGAGAGAAAGAAAAGCTAATTAAAAGGGCAAAAAAAGCAACACAGAATGTGCAACAAGGGGGGGGGGGGCACCCATCAGAGGGACTGGAAACATAAAAGTAGGCGCCCCTCCTAACAAATGTCCGCACCACGAAAATATATGAAATGAAACAATTCCTTATTATGAATAACAAACACTGAACAAGTACAAAAGC